GGGCCTTGGCTGAGCCCGTGAATGACGTGCCACGGGCAGGGGAGCAAGCACAGGCGGAGGGAGTGGGAGGCCCTCCCGTGTCCCAGGTGACGGCCGCCCCCCTCCCCCGGGGTGGGCTGCTAGGGAGCAGGCGACGCGGCCTACCTGGCCCAAAGGCGGCCCTGCCCAGGGCCTCGGTGGCGTTCTCAAACCCCAGGGCGCGGCAGACGACGCTGGCGTCCACCAGGTCCCACAGGTTGTCACACACGGTGCCCCACTGGCCTCCATAGAAGATCTCCACGCGGCCCTCGTTGGGGGCGTCCCCGTTGGCCAGCCGCATGTCACCATCTCTCACGCCTGCAGGGCTCCCGAGGGCACACAGGTCAGCGGGGCAGTGGGCAGCGGGCCGGGCTTTGGGGGCGGGGGGGCGGAAACAGGCTCAGCCCCGGCTGCAGCTGAGCGGCACAGGGCAGCTCTCAGTTGGGGTACTGCAGGCTTCTGTGGGGTCACCAGGGTGAGGAAAGTCCCCAGGCCTCGGGGTAAAGAGCCTGAGGCAGGCGCCAGGACTCTGCAAGTCCCCGCCCTTGTCCCCCCCACATCTGGCGGATCTGACGGCCCCTCCTGCACACCCCACCTTCCCCGCCCCCATCTGTCCCCTGGGAGCTGGAGGGAGTGGAGAATTCCTTGGTTTCCCCCCAGGTGAAGCCACACGACTTGGGACACCTGGACCTCAGTGAGAGAGGTGTCCTGAGCTGACCCTGTGACCTGAGCTGACCCATGACCTGAGCTGACCCGTGACCTGAGCTGACCCGTGACCTGAGCTGATCTTGGTTGACCCAGTGACCAGCACCGGTGGAGCGCTGCCTGGCCTCCCGCAGGCACTAAGCCTGCCCAGCCAGGGAGACACAGATGCGGGCCGCTGGGGCCCAGCTCACCTTGAGTCCCTGCGACCAGTAGCCACACCCAGAGGAGCCGGGGGAGGGCCATGGCGGCCTGGGAGCCTCGTCCTGCAGCGGAAGGAGGCGGAGTGAGGCAGCGAGTGAGCCCTGCGGGAGCAGGCGCAGCCTCCAGCCTTCCAGAGTGGAGGGCAGAGGGCGCCACGGGGGTCCCGCTCTGGAGCGGGGAGGGTGCTGGCGCCCCACGGCCCCTGGTCTCTTCCGAAAGACGAGCTCCAAGGACCTGCAGGCCTTGCCCGGATGAAGGGAGGCTGGGTGTCTCTGGGCAGCAAGGACAGAGGAAGAGCTCATCTCAGAAACCAGGCCCTGGGGGCTGTAGGCTGAGACAGGCGGGGAGGGCGGCGTGCAGGCCCAGGCAGGGAGAGGCCCAGGGCCTTGCTAGGGACCGGCTCCACCTCAGGAAACAGCCCTGCAGGAGTGGCCAGAGGTTGTGCAGACAGAACATTCCGTGAGCCCTGGGGGGAGGGGAGCCAGAGCAGGCTGAGGGGTGCATGGGGTGCACAGACATCCCGGCGGGCCCTGGGCAGCCAGGGAGGGCGGACAGGCTGCCCTGCCTCTCTGCAAGTTGGCAAGAGGGCTTGGTCCTCTGGGCAGGTGCAGGCCTGGGCGCGTGCGCAGGTCAGGGGCAGGAGGGGCTGCGTCCGAGCAGGCGGTGTCCACGGGACGCCCCGGGGAACCGGGAGCAGGTGATGACCCTGGGCTCGGGGGCGGGGGCGCCAACGGGAAGACGTGGCCCCTCAGATGCCACCCTTACCTGCCTGAGCGCCGCTGGTGGTCCTGGGCCCGCCTTCCTGCTGCAGGCCCTCTGCAGACTGCCCTTCGCCCGGACCCGAGGAGCAATGCTTCTGAACACCCCGCTAGTTTCGATTCCCAGAAACCACGTGACACGGGTTTTTTCTGGGGCTGGCTGCTCTCAGCCTCAGGGGGCCCTCTCCCACCCTCCCTCCCTCCCTCCCTCCCTCCCTCCCTCCCTCCGCTCTGCCTGTGGGTGGTGGTGAAGGCGGCCGCCCAAGGCAGTATCTGGGTGACTTGATAACCACAGAGGGTGAAAGGGAACAATCCTCACCCCGGCCCCTGGGGGCGGGGCGGGGAATGGCGGGAGCACGGGGGTGGGGTGGGGTGGGGGATGGGGAGTGGGGCGGGTCTGCATCAGAGCAGCAGGGCTCCTGCTCCAGCTAGCAGCTGGCACCTGGTGCTGGTGGAGACGCTCACAATCTCAAGTTGCTCCATCTTCAGCCCCAGGGTCCCAGGAAAACCTGCCCGTCACCAAAGCAGACGGGGTCTGCTCCCGGGCCTCACGCCCCTCCCCCCCGCCCCGGCCCCCATCAAGGGAACGTGGGACGACAGCGTGTGACGCAGCGCAGGCCCCAGGCTCCATCCTCGGCCCGGGTGTGACCGTGTGGACGGCGCTGCTGGGACAGGAAGCCACTGCTGACACGTGGGGAGCGCGCTGGGGGCTCTTGGGGGCGGGACCCTGGCTGGCCTGGAAGATACCCCACGTGCCCCACCCCGGCTCCCACACAAGGCAGGAAGGGGTTCGATAACCTGTAGCGAGGCGCTGCCGTAAACCTCGCACATGAACTGTTCTTTGTTAATCCTCACCCGAGGATATTTTTCCATTGGTTTTTAGGGCGCGTGGAAGAGAGAGGGAAAGACAGAAACATCGACATGAGAGAGACACATCAGTTGGTTGCCTCCTGCATGAGGGCCCGGGGCCAGGGAGGAGCCTGCAGCCAAGGTACGTGCCCTCAACTGGGAATCGAACCTGTGGCCCTTCAGTCTATGGCTGATGCTCTAACCACTGAGCCCACTGGGCAGGGCCCGAGGCGACTTCTAGCTTACTTTTTGCGCGCTGGCCACGGCAGCAGCAGACCACGCAGCCACAAGTCCCTACTGTGCAAGCCCGTGTATGAGGGCTGCCTTCTTGGTGCCTGGGACTCCATGTACAGTCCCTGCTCCAGGCCCCGCCTCTACCCCCGGGGCCCCCACTCTCCTGGAACTGCCCAGGCCACTGTGTCCCCCTCTCAGTCCTCGGACCCTCTCCAGGCCTTTTCATTGACCTCCCACAACACTGGACGTCGACCGACCCCTGGCTGTCCATCCGCTCGGGCTGCAGCAGGAAACAGCGGGCTCTAGCCTCAGATCCTTCGGGGGCTTTTAGAAAGGGGTACAGGCGCTCCCCTCTTGGGAGCAGAATCCCGCCTCCTCCTCCACACACACCTGCCTTTCTCTCTCCTGAGTGCCAGGGCCTCCTTTGCTCTCTGACTTGTGTCCTGAGCCCACGCAGCCCAGCTGGCTCACTCTACGCCCTCTGTAACTTTCTACATAAACGTTCTTTAAAAAATAAAAATTATTGATTTCAGAAAGAAACGAAGAGGGAGAGAGAAACATCAATGATGAGAGAGAATCATGGATCGGCTGCCTCCTGCACGCCCGACACTGGGATCGAGCCTGCAACCTGGGCCTGTGCCCTGACCAGGAATCGAATCCTGACCTCCTGGTTGATGCTCAACCACTGAGCCACACCCGCAGGGTTAAATGTTTTTTTATAATTTGAAAATAAGGGGGTGGGCTGTTTACAAAGTGTGGTACCTGGAGCTGTGACCCCTCGCAGGCCAGAGGGGGCAGGGGTGCAGAGAGTGCAGAGGGGTCCCAGATCGCCCACTCCCTCCGCCTCCCAGAGGCCGGAGGAGGAGGCTCCCTCAGGTCAGCCTCTGGGGACCCGGGCAGGGAGGGACAGGAGTGGTGTGAGCGACAAAAGGAAGAGAGGACCGGACCCTCCTGAGGTGCCGCCCCCCCCGCCCCGCAGTCCCCAGTGAGGCCTCTCCTCTGAGCTCTGCGGCTCCTGCGGGTTCCAGACCCTCGGACCTCTGCGGGGCGCCACTCCCAGGCTCCCAGGCTCCCTGGGGAACTTCCCACACCTCCAGCCACGAGCGGGCACCAGGAGCTGGCGGCTGTGAATGGCTCTATTGTTACCTCCCCTCCCAGGCGGACAAGGAAATCAAAGCACCTGGCCAGGGTCCCACAGGGAGAAGGGCCAAGGCCGGGGTGGAGCCTACGGTTAGCTCTTAACCGCGACCAGGGAGCACCTGGGAAAAGCTGGCTCCGTGACTTGGCTTCCAGAGGCGTCCGAGAAGGTGGCTGCACATCAGCAGCGACTGGGCCTGCCCCCCCCACCCCCCCCGCCCCCCCCACAAGAGCAGGAGGCGTCAGGGTCTCTCCTGTGCCCCTCGCGGAGCCCTGGCCGCCACACGGAGCAGGAGACGCAGACCTCCCGCCCCTGCGCTTTATTGTCCACAGAACCACGGCATGGGGGGAGGGGTGAGGGGGGCGGTTTTAAAACACTCCCAACCGCTGAGGGGCGAGTGCGGCAGCTGGGCCCCGCCGGGCCGGCGTCACACGATGCCTCCGAGTCCCAGTGTGGTGACTGTCCCCCGTCCCCCGACTCCTAACTCCACCTGCATCTCCACCGGGAGCGGCCCCATCGCTGCCGCTGGCCAAGGCGGGGCTCAGGGAGCCGCCGGGCACGTGGGACAGGCGTGCCCAGGGGGAGCCACGCTCCAGGGAGACGGGCCACCGCCAACAGCTCGCCTTCACGCTCTCGCTTTGACGTCTCAGGGGAAGAAACGGACGCCCAGCCGCGGGGAATAGGGGCCTCGCGGGCGCCCTCCTGGCGGCTGTCAGTTCCACGCTGAGAAGTCTGGGGAGGGTCCACGCGGCCCTTCTCACGTCCCGGCCCCGCGCTCTCCTGGGGGTGAGGCAGCTTCCGGGCCCGCTCCCTGCGGCATCGGGGACAGGCCCCGGGACCGGGCCCCACGGAGACAAGCGGAGCTTGTGTGAAGTTTCCCTGGAGACGAGCTGCTGGCGCCCGGGAGGAGGAGGACGGAAGGGCAGGAGGGACAGGAAGTGTGGGAGGGCCTGGCGCCTCCATCACTGCGTCCCTCGGCCCAGGGCTCAGTGTGTAAAACCCGCCTCGACCACTGTAGCTCTAACTACGACTCCCTCCGCTGCGGGGAGCGGGTTTAATGTGGGACTTTGCTCTGTGGCATAAGATTTGGCGATTCCTTTTTATAAGAAAGGAGATGGCTTTAATTAGAGTAAGTTAATAATTAAAGCTTCAAAGAGCTACGGAGCCACAGAATTTTCCTGAAGGGAGGACATGGACCCAGCCAAGGAAACAGATTGTCCATGTGAGGCTGGGGACCGCGGGTGGGCTGGTGGCCTGGGCTGCCCCGCTCACAGCCCTGCCACGTCTGTCCGTCTGTCCGCGGTGTCAACAGGTCCTCTCCAAGCAGGGGGGACGGGACGGCCTTCGCGCCCGAGGTTCGGGACGGAGGGGGCTTGACTTCCTGGTGGGCGGGGGCACTTCAGATCCCGGGTCACTGCTATGTCCCATACGGGCTCCGCACTTGATGGCAGGAGCCAAGATACATTCATTGAACAAAAGAAGAGAAACGAGGCCCGCCACATGCAGCTTCCACCACCAGAGGGCAGCACACAGGCCCAGGGCCCGGCCGCCCGGAGCCTGCCCTGGGGGTGGCCCTTCCGGCTCTGAGAGGTCCCTCAGCTGCTCCAGGGGCCTGAACCTCTAAACCCCAGACCCAGCCCGGAGTCCCGGGAAGAAAAAGAGCAGAACAAACACCACAGAAGGGCAGGCCCCGGCTTTTTATAGAAGTGGGGCCCTGATGCCGCTTAAAGCCGTCCGCCCTCGGGCCGCCTGACGCCTGAACCTCTAAGATTTAAATAAACTCTATCCCCTCGTACTTGACGTTCCCGACCTTGGTCTCGGGCAGCAGGAAGCGCCCGTCCAGCGTGAAGGCCATGATGTAGGTGGCGACCTTGCCGCCGTCCTCCTCGGACTTGAGGGCCACGATGACCTGGTCATCGGTGTTGGGCACGAACTTGAAGGAGGAGAAGCCGTGCGTGGGCACCACCTCCCCGACGCGGCGCACGGAGACGGCCCCGAAGTCCGCGCTGGCGCTGAGCAGCAGGTTGGTGCCCTTGCGCTCGTCGTCCCGCTCGCTGTAGCGCTCGCGGCTGGCCCGGCGCGGCAGGAAGAACCAGCGCTGCAGCGCGTCGCTCCAGCAGGCGGACTCGTGGATGAGGTAGCCTGGGACACGGCAGACGGGGCTCAGTGGCGGGCAGCGCCCAGGCTGCCTGCACAGGGGCCTGGTGCCCAGCATGCACTTGGAAGCTGCAGCCCCGGGGCGAGGGCAGGGGGGCCTCGCTCACAGCCCCGCCCTCCCTTCGATCCCCGTGTTTCCCAGAGGCGGCTTCACACTCGGTCCTCGTCGCCCAGAGGAACGAGGATGGACACGCCAGAGCCCGCAAAGGCCTCCCGTCCGGGGCCCGTCTTCCCCGACCAGCTTCCCCGGGAATGCCGCGCGGCCACGCCGTGTGGTCTGTCCTCCTGCTTCCCTGTGCTGGTCAGGGCGCAGACGCAGGGGAGGGGACCAGCAGGCTGCTCTGCGGGGCGGGCTCTCCCATGAGGGGGCACGGGGCCTAGCTGGGGTCCTCGGCCGCGTCCCCCCAAGTCCAGAGCTGGCCAGGCCTCTCCGAGCATCAGGGCACCCACCACAACACTGGCGTCTCTGGGGGTGAGGGGAGAGCCAGAGCTGCCCCCTCCCACCTCCACCCGGGGACAGCCATTCGGGCTCCGTCTGGGGGCCGTGACTTGGGGTGAAGGGTGACACAGAAAACACCTCATCTGCCCCCAGAATCCACTGGCCGAGGGTGCACCCACCCGACAGCCGAAATCATCAGATTGAGCAAGAAACGAAACCGCTGCGGCCCCGGGCCCGGCTCCTACCTGGCGGGTGGATGCCGGCGGCGGCCCGGAGGGCGTGGTAGCTGGCCACCCAGTTCTCGTGGTCCACGCTGCCCCGGAAGCCCACCACCTTCACCCACTCGGGGTTCTCGTTGACCACCTCGCCCGTGGTGGTGGTCCACTCCTTGCCCAGGCCGCCCACGTACAGATGCTCGTCCTTCACCGCCAGCCACTCCGCCTTGAAGCCTGCGGACAGGAGACGAGGGGGACTGAGACCCGGCCGGCCCTCTGCCCACGGCGCCTGGCTCCTGGGGGTCTGGCTGCCCTGGGCGTCCGAGGTCACCGTGTTAAACTTCACTTGAGTGCACAGGACAGCCTGGCTCGAGCCCCATCCTGGAGGGTCAGCAGCGGGCACAGGACGTACTCTCCCCTACGCCCCTCCCCCTGGGCCAGCGGCGGGCAGGGCTGGCGCTCACCTTTCCCCACGGTGCCGTCACCGTCGGACAGGATGACCCAGGGCACGGGCGTGTTGCCCTCGATCCGGTAGACCACCCCCGTGCGGTCGTCCACAGAGTAGAGCTTCCCGTTGAAGACGACCAGGTCGGACAGCTCCATGCCCCGCCCCTTTTCCGCCAGGTGGGACTCCAGGACCTTGTGGCCCGGGTCCCACTCCACGGCCACCTGGTCCCCGCTGTGGGACAGGGTCAGGTAGCCCTTCTGCAGGTAGCTGAACCAGGTGTTCTCCTCCCGGGCCTTGGAGTCCGTGTCCAGGTCGGCGATGACTGCGATGCGGTAGCGGGTCCCGCCCGGCGTCCTCTGGGGGGCCGACAGCGGGTAGGTGTCATTGTATCGGTCGGCAGCCGCCTGGCTGAGCCGCCAGTTGTGGGCGCTGGGCGCGGGGGGCCTGGCCGGCGCCGGGCGGTGGGAGCAGAGCAGCCAGAGCACGGCGACGCCCACGACCGACGGCAGGATCACTTTCCAGCGGACGCGGAAGCGGGGGTCCGTGGCCTTGCTCATGGACGCCAGCGCGGGGAGGCGCCCCACACTTATCCAGGCGGAGTGCATAGACTCATTCCATGCCGGGGGCGGCAGGGCTGGCGGGCGGCCGCGCGCGCGAAGGGCTGGCGGGACCTGCACACGGGAGGGGGGGAGGGAGGTCACGACCTGCGAAACGCAGACCCAGCAGGGCCAGGCGTGGCGGCCCCGGCACCTCCTCGGCTTAATGAAACCCGGACTCCAGCGACATCTGTTTGCCCTTCTTCAGCAAGAGGAGCCGTCCTCCCACAGAAAATCACCCATCCCCTCCTCCCGGCCGGGACAGAGGGACCGTCCGCGCAGGCTGGAGCGTTCGGTCTCAGGGGAAGAGCAGCGGCTGGCATGGCAGGTGACCGAGGGCAGAGGGCTGTGTTCGGTGAAATGCCGCCTCCCCCGGGAAGCCCTCCCTGGAGGCCCTGCTCCTGACAGCACCTCCACCCCTTCCCTGGACCCTTCGCCACCCGACATCAGGTACACAGACATCACTGTCCCCTGCTGATGCCTGCTTGCCAAGCAGGTGAGGTGTTGCCCCTCCTGGGCTAGTTCTGTGGCATTCAAGTCCAAATGTAGAACAGATTCAGGCAAAACAGAAATGGTTGTTTTCGGCAACATCTGCCCAGACACCTTCCCGTTAATGCCCACAAGGGAGGGGTCAGAGCCTGCAGGGCCCTCACGGCCTGGGGGGAGGAAGCACACACCCACTTCCTCCACAGCCCCTGTCCCACCCCACCTTGGTCACAGGGACCAGCCCCGAGGCCCCGCCTCAGGGCAGCAGGAGCAGTGGACAGGCTGCCACCAGGTGAGTGTCATCCTCACGGCCCCAACTCACTCTGTACCCGCCCCCCCCCCCCCCCCATCGCCCCGTGCCCGCCCTGGCTGCTCTCTGTCTGCTCACTCCTGGCGGGTCAGTAACTACGCAGATGAGCTGGTAGCTTGTGACTGACTGTAGCCCCACCTGCCCGCCCCATCCTGGAGGAGCCCTGTCCCTCCCGCCGCCAGGGCCGGGGCTGCCTGCTTCCCCAAGATGACGACCGACAGGCCTGCTCCTGAGGCCCGAGCAGTCCCCCGGGAACCCCACTGCACCTCCCGCCACAGCTGACCCTCTGGGGTCCTCCTCCGCCTGTCTCTTCTCAGCCTCCAAGACCGCTCACCCCTGCTTCTGAATCGACCTTGTAACCCCTACAGCGAGGGCGCCCCACACCTTCCAGGCTGTGTGCCCGCCCCCACGGGCACCTGGGACAGGAAGGTAAGCTGCCCGCAGCTGGGAGCCTGGGGCAGGGCGAGGGCACATCTCTATAAAAACCAGGTAACCAGCCGGTCAGGCAGGCCCACCGTCCCGGGTGGGGGGGTCCTCGCCCACACTCCCCCAAGGCGGAGGGGCCGACTTCCCGGCATCAGAAAACCAGGGACTTGCTCCGTAAAACACAGGTTCCCCACCCGGCCAGGCTCCCCTGCCCAGGCGGCCTGCAGACAGCCCTCTCTGTGAGAGCCCCAGGGGACAGCCCCCCGCCGGCAGCCCCCCGCCGGGCAACAGCCCTGGGGAGAGGCACCAGGAGGAGGGTCGTGTCCCCCCACCTCCCACTTTCCAGGGAGCTGTGTCGCAAGAACGGCTCACAGACACTCCTGTTTCTGGCTCTTGTCAAACCAGCATTTCCTTGTAGAGAGCAGGTCTGCACCAGGCAGCGCGCAGGTTCCCAGGCCCCGGGGCAGCACCCAGGGAGACCCTCGGTTAGGAGTGAGGACGGGCTCAGGCACCCCTACCTTCCTGGGCCATGCTCAGCCTGCCCCCGACTCCAGGCCCGGCTCACATGAAAGGGGCACCACTCCCTGCGCCTGCAGCCCAGAGGGTGGCTCTAGGGCTCAGTGGGGAGTGGTGAGGGAGGGAGTGGTCGGACAGGTGGCAGAACAAACAGCTGCAGCGGCTCCTCCCTCAGGATCTGGGAGGGCAGGGAGGGCTCCCGGATCTGAGATAAGGGCCCTCCCAGCTCCCTGCCTCTGCCTGGACAGGGGCAGCCCTTTCCTCCCAGCGCCCCCTGCAGCCACCACCTTCCTTCCCCGGCAGCCACGGCCTCTGCCTCTGATGACAGCAGGCAGTCCCCGCTCTGCCCCAACGCACTTCCCGATGGGAAAGAAGAGCTGAACCCTCGACAGCCTGGAAGCGTGCTCGCTGCACCCGCTGGCGGCTGCCCCACCCCTCCCCGGCACCCCAGCGTGCACTGCTCCCCGAGTCGGGCCCCTTCGTGCTCGCCCCCCACCCTAGAGGAGTGTACTGGGCTCCTCTTCCCGCTGTCACCTCACGCACTTGGCAGCGGAAACGGCAGCTGCCTTGCAGCCCGCAGGCCGGCAGCGGGATGTCGGTCTCTGGACTAGCATTAAGGCCGGTCCCTCCCGAGGCTGGAGCAGAGAACCCGCTTCCTGGACGTTCGTCTCCAGCCCCCAGTGGCCGCCCGCACGCTTTGGCTTGGGGCCCCTTCCCCCACCGCAAAGCCAGCATCTCAGTGCCGCCCTCACTCCCTCGTGCCCTCTGCCTCCCGCTTCCCGGGAGGACCCTGTGGTCACCCTGGGCGCTCCCGGGCATCCAGTGTGACCCCAGTCAAGGTCAGCTGACGAGCACCCTGACCGCCAGCGTGCCCGCGGCCGTTCCTCTGCGCGGAACCGGAGCTGTGAGTGCCATTCACCGGCGGCACTTACTACAGACAAGCCAGTGGGAGTCCAAGGGAAGGCACGCGAGAGGGAAACGGAACACCTCCCCAGGTTCCTCTGGTATCAGGATTTCTTCCCAAGCAACTGTCTCGGTCGAAATCAGGGGTGGGCGCCCTGACCGGTGTGGCTCAGTGGATAGAGCGTTGGCCTGCGGACTGAAGGGTCCCAGGTTCGATTCCGGTCAGGGGCATGTACCTCGGTTGCGGGCACATCCCCAGTAGGGGGTGTGCAGGAGGCAGCTGATCGATGTTTCTCTCTCATCGATGTTTCTGACTCTCTATCCCTCTCCCTTCCTCTGTGTAAAAAATCAATAACATATATTTAAAAAATAAATAAATAAAAAATCAGGGGTGGGGGCCCTTTTCCCCGCCAAGGGCCATGTGAACACTTGTAACATCATTCACCGGCCACACAGAATCACCCGCCTAAACATCAGCCGCTGCGTCTGGTCACAGATCTCACTGCCTCACCCGATGCCCTGGCGGGCGGACCGAATGGTTCTGGGGCTGCATAAGGCCCCTGGGCGGGCGGCCCCTCCTGCTCTACATCAACACAGCCCTCCTCACCAGAAGAGTCTGACACCCCTGGCGGCGGCATCACCGCGGCGGTCCAGGAACCGCCACGGCACCTGCGTAGCTGTGGCCACAAAAACAGGGCGTGGACACGGTCTGGGGCACAGCTTCGGGAAGAAAGGAGACGGCGCTCAGGGAAGGCAGCAAATGACCAGACGCACGCCTCGCCCCGCCTCGCCGGAGCGGTCATCTGGCGAGAGTGGCACCTGCCTACCTGGGGCGTGTGGTTCCCTCCCCCACCCTGTGTGGTCAGCTCACCTGGACGAGAGAGAGTAGGGAGACCGAGAGCCCCCACTCCGTCCGGCCACGGGGGTGGCCTCGGACAGGCCGGAGCCCCCATGCTCCTCTCGGACACGCTCTGCTCTGGGCGGCCAGGAGGCAGAGGGCGGGCCTGCTGACCGCCTCCCAGCCCTTTCGTGGGCGGTCAGGCCTGAACAGAGGCTCATTGAGGCCCCAGGAGGGGCACCGGGAAGCCACCCTGTCCGCAGTCTCGGGCTGGACTTTCCGAGGGGAGGTCAATGTGGGGGGGCTGGGGGTTGGGGGGGGTCCACAGCCCAGCCAAGAAGATCTGTCAATGGACCGATCTCTGGGTGAGGACCGAGGGGATCGCAGAGACCCCGCGGCTCCCGAAGGGTGTGCCCTGCTTCCTTCCACGGACCTTCTGAGTGGCTACGCCGTTGCCAAGTGCCGGCCCTTACCCCGAAGGGCCAGCGAGATTCAGTCACCAGCACACGCGTGTTCCCACACGCAGGCCACATACCCCGAGACAGGCATGAAACGGGGCTGGAGCGCTGAGACCGCCCTCCTGGGGGACACAGGGAGCTCGGAAGAAGGGGATCGCAGTGCCAGGGCCCTGCCAAGCCGGGGACACAGAGGACACGGAAAGGCACTGAGCCACATGCAGGAGGTGCTGGTCCCAGGTGAAAGGATCCAGACGGGGGGGTGAGGGGGACAGGGTGGGAGGACGGGTGATCGTCTGAAGCAAAGGTGAGGAAGGCCTGGGGGGAGGGGCGCGGTGAGAAGGCTGGCCTGCTGCAGGTGTGACCAAGTGTCGGGCAGATGGGGGAGCCCCTAATCCCTCAGGAGAGGCCCTGCACAGGTCAGAGTTGGGGTACTGAAATCAGAGGGAGGCAGGAAAGGGTTGTCATCAGGGAGAGGAAGGGAATGCATCCATCAGGGTCAAAGGGGGAGGAGTCCCCTAGTCAGGGGGGCAGTGTCCCCAAGTCAGAGGGGGGAGGTGTCCCCAAGTCAGAGGGGGGAGGCGTCCCCAAGTCAGAGGGGGGAGGAATCCCCAAGTCAGAGGGGGTAGGTGTCCCCAAGTCAGAGGGGTAGGTGTCCCAAGTCAGAGGGGGGAGGAGTCCCCAAGTCAGAGGGGGTAGGTGTCCCAAGTCAGAGGGGGTAGGTGTCTCAAGTCAGAGGGGGAGGAGTCCCCAAGTCAGAGAGGAGAGGTGTCCCCAAGTCAGAGGGGTAGGTGTCCCAAGTCAGAGGGGGGAGGAGTCCCCAAGTCAGAGGGGTAGGTGTGTCCCAAGTCAGAGGGGGGAGGAGTCCCCAAGTCAGAGGGGTAGGTGTCCCAAGTCAGAGGGGGGAGGAGTCCCAAGTCAGAGGGGTAGGTGTCCCAAGTCAGAGGGGGGAGGAGTCCCCAAGTCAGAGGGGTAGGTGTCCCAAGTCAGAGGGGGGAGGTGTCCCAAGTCAGAGAGGGGAGGTGTCCCCAAGTCAGAGGGGGGAGGTGTCCCCAAGTCAGAGGGGGGAGGAGTCCCCAAGTCAGAGGGGAGGTGTCCCAAGTCAGAGGGGGTAGGTGTCCCAAGTCAGAGGGGGTAGGTGTCCCAAGTCAGAGGGGGAGGAGTCCCCAAGTCAGAGGGGGGAGGTGTCCTAAGTCAGAGGGGGGAGGAGTCCCCAAGTCAGAGAGGTAGGTGTCCCCAAGTCAGAGGGGGGAGGAGTCCCCAAGTCAGAGGGGGAGGTGTCCCAAGTCAGAGGGGGGAGGTGTCCCAAGTCAGAGGGGGTAGGTGTCCCAAGTCAGAGAGGGTAGGTGTCTCAAGTCAGAGGGGGGAGGTGTCCCCAAGTCAGAGGGGGGAGGTGTCCCAAGTCAGAGGGGGGAGGAGTCCCCAAGTCAGAGGGGGGAGGTGTCCCCAAGTCAGAGGGGGGAGGAGTCCCCAAGTCAGAGGGGTAGGTGTCCCAAGTCAGAGCGGGGAGGAGTCCCCAAGTCAGAGGGGGTAGGTGTCCCAAGTCAGAGGGGGTAGGTGTCTCAAGTCAGAGGGGGGAGGTGTCCCCAAGTCAGAGGGGGGAGGTGTCCCCAAGTCAGAGGGGGGAGGTGCCTCCAAGTCAGAGTCTGCGGGAGGGCGGACCTGCGGGGGACGGGGCGGGCGGAGGCCGGCAGCGGGCCCGCAGCAAGCGGAGCGCGGGTGGCCGGGGGCGCCGTCACTCACCCGGTGCAGACTGGCTCTGGGCCCGCGGACGGGGACCTCGCAGCGCGGAGACCAGGACCGAGCGGAGGGCCGACTTCCGCCCGGCGCGCTCGCCCCGCCTCCGAGCAACACGCTCCCGGCAGCCTCTGCTCTGCGGCCGCGCGCCGGCCGCGGCAGGGGCTGCTGGGAGTTGTAGTTTTTGTGGCTCGGCTAGCGGTCCGGGAGGAGGAGCCGCGGTCGGGGGAAGGGCGGGAGGGACTCCGAGCAGAAACGGAGGGGCGGCGGGGAGGGTTACCGGAGGAGGCTCCCATTCCTCGGGCTGAGACCATAGGACCCCTGCCTGGCCTCTTTCTGCCACACCTTCTCAGAGACCCCTCCCCCGGGCCCTTCGGGCGCCCCGTCGGAATCTTGATCAGTTTCCAAAGCAAAGCTCTAAGGGTCTCATGGCCCCAGCGGCCTGGGCCGGGGTTCCTCTGACTTGCAAACAACAAACCCCTTCCCAAGTCAGGGTCTCTGGCCCGTCCCGTTTCTCCAGCCCCCGATTCTCTCAGTGGAATATGTTAAAGACATTCCCGCTCCACTCCCAAGTCCCCAAGGATGCTCATCCTAGCAATCCTGGGGAAAGCCGGGTAGGTAGGGGTGGGGCCGGGCAGGAGCGAGGTGTGGAGGTGCTGGGGGGCCTGCCCCTTCAGCCTGTGGTGCCTACAAGCCTCCGGGACCTCTCGGAACCTTTCGTTAAAGTTACAGGCACAAAGGAAATTTCAAATTGTATAAACGGTGCGCAGTGAAAAATAACCTCCCCTCCCCCCTGCATTCCCTCCCCGGAGACAGGCGCTATTATTAGTTCCTTGTGGTTATTCTTGCAGATAGTTTGTGGCACACAAACAAGTCATAAACACGTATATTAAATTACCTTTTTAAAAACCCAATGTAAACGTGCTAAACACATGGTTCTGCATTTTAGGGGGAAGGGGGAGGCAAGGAGCAAGTCTTTTTTTAATTCATTTATGTTTCCTATCATGCTAAACCATGTTCCAACCATAAATCATGTATTACTAAAATTACTTTAAATTATTCAAACTTTTATCTACAAAGGTATCTATCTATCTATCTATCTATCTATCTATCTATCTAAAAAGCCAGCTATGACGCCCACTGCCACCAGCGAACCAGCTGGATCTGGGGGTCGGGTCTGCTGGCCAACCCCCCGGCCCTCCCCCACCCGTCCCTGTCCCTGATGGGCCCCCACTACCTTGATCAGGGGCAGCGCTGGCCAGCCAGACAGCCATGGCTCCTCCCCCAGACTGCTGGCCCCCAATCGCCCTCCCCACCCCATTCGGGGGCGGGGCCCGCCAGCTAACCTCCCACCGTCTCCTCCTTCTGACAGGCCTGGCCCCATCTGCCCCGACCTGACCTGTGCATGAACTCATGCACTGGGCCTCTAGTGTGTATATATATAAAAGCCTAAGCAGACTGGCGACCGGCTGGCAGCTATAATGTGCACTGACCACAAGGGGCAGATGCTCAACACAGGAGCAGAAACCACAGGCATGGAGACATGGAACAGACTGATGAATCTCAGAGGGAAGAGGGGACGGGGGAAGGTGGGAAGAGATGAACCAAAGATCTTATACGCATACTAGAGGCCCTCGGCCTGAGGCTCTCCGACATCCCCCGAGGGGGTCCCAGATTGCAAGAGGGTGCAGGCCAGGCCGAGGGACCCCACTGGTGTACGAATCTGTGCACCGGGCCTCTAGTATCTTTATATGCCTCCTGAGCTTAAAAAAATGAAACAGTCCTGTGATCTTGAAAGCCCTCCAGGTACTCCTCCTGGTTCCCAACTCTCTCTCACCCCAGAGGTGACCACCATCTTAAATGTTAGGTTAGTCATTCTCATGCTTTTTTAAAATAATTTTAGCAAATAACTATGTATCCCCAACCCATACACATGCCTATAACAACTTTTACAGAAGGAAATAACGCTGTGTGCAGGGCTGAGGGAGCCCCTTGCCCGCAGAGGTTACCAGCTGTATTAATTTTACCAGCTGGATGGCTTGACGCGTCCGCTCACGGTCTCCTGCCTGAGAGGGTGGCCACCTCTCTTATAGCTTTTGGCTATATATACATCGTCTTCTGCACATAGGAACCTCCCAGGGCTGCTTTTAGAAGATAACCCATCCCTTCCCCATGGACGTGTGTGCGATGACAGTGTTATCATAGATCAGCTGGCACGCGGCTCTGATCGTTCTGTATTGGTGTAAGATTTCACACCAGCTCCAATACCACTGTCCTCACTAGTACCTCTTTTTAAAAATATATATATATACTTTTCGCCCTAGCCGGTTTGGCTCAGTGGATAGAGCGTTGGCCTGCGGACTGAGGGGTCCTGGGTTCAATTCCAGTCAAGGGCACGTACCTGTCTTGCCGGCTCAATCCCCAGTGGGGGGCATGCAGGAGGCGGCCGATCGATGATTCTCATCATTGATGTTTCTATCTCTCTCTCCCTCTCCCTTCCTCTCTGAAATCAATAAAAATACATTTTAAAATATATATATATATTTTTTAATTGATGTTTTATGGCACTGGGAGGGGTGGGTGAGCTGTCAGGGTTTTACCAGGCCTGAGGGTCCTTTCAGGGTCCCCGTGATCCCTTCCCATCACAGCCACGCTCCGGGCACATCCTTGAACTTACTCTTTGCGCTCGATTTTAAGTGTGTCTGTAGGGTAGAGATCTGGAAGGAAGAGGACTATGTCAAAGGGTGTTGCATCCTCGTGAGGCGACTCGTGGTCAGGCTGTGCCGTGAAACGGTGCCCCTCACTGTCAACAATGACTCAGCGGTCAGGGTCACTAGGTTTTCCTCCGATTCCCATTCCCCGGTCATCTTTGCATCCCGGGGCCCTCGCGGAGGCCTCCTGCTGGGAATTCTCTGCTCTCGGTTGTGGCTCTGCATAGAAGACTAGACTTCCTTGCTTTGATTATTCATCCATGCATTGACTCAGCGACTCATCCATTTCACAGCCCAGGGCCGAACTGCGCCCTCCACCAGGGGGCCCTCCCATTGTATTTGTTATGGAAAACATTGCCTAACCCAGCGGCCTCTGCCCACCTCCATCTAACCCAGGGGTTCTCAACCTGTGGGTCGCGACCCCTTTGGTGGTTGAACGACCCTTTCACAGGGGTCGCCTAAGACCATCCTGCAGATCAGATATTTACATGACAATTCATAACAGTAGCAACATGACAGTTATGAAGTAGCAACGAAAATAATTTTATGGTTGGGGGTCACAACATGAGGAACTGTATTTAAAGGGCCAGAAGGTTGAGAACCACTGAACCCGGAGTCCTGAAGAGAACTTCCCCCAGCAGCGACGTTGAGAGCTGGGGAAATGGAGGCAGGAGGCACTGTCTGGCTGGGTTAGGGCCAGAAAGCCCATGGGTGGTACAGTGAGCCTGCGGTGGTGGCTTCTCCCTGGGACTGTCTGTCCTGGCCTCCGGCGTGCCGAGGGGACGCCCTGGGAAAGGTCCTGAGACAGGTCTTCTCCAGGTTCGGGGAGCAGAAAGGAAAGCAGGTCGGCCCGTTCGGTCTCCGTAGCTGTCAGTCCCGATCCCCACGTGCCCCGAACCTTCCAGACCACGGGCACCGCCATCCAGGAGCAACCGGCGTGGGCCAGCCTCCAGGGAGGCCGGGTCTGGCTGCCAAGTTTCCATCTCAGCTCCTTCTCCAAACCTCCGTGGAGACTGTCCCGCCCCCGCCCCTTGGCAATGGGACCCCACCATCTGACCCTGCCCGTGGCTACCCTTTGGCATGGAATTCAGAAGTTTGCAATACCAGTCTCGGCGCTTGTGGGACCACGGGGCGGCCCGGCCCAAAATAGCTGGGAGAGGCAGACCGTGAGGGCCGCCCGCGGTGGGCAAGGCCCAGGGGCCATGGTGGGGGGAGCCTCGAGTCTGACAGACTGGAACAAAGGTCACCTCGTTCCCCAACGATGAGAAAACAGCTGTGCAGGGAGGCAGGAGGGATTGGCACATGGGGGGACCCCGTGTGCTTCCTGGGCAGTTCTTCCCTGGAATGTCTCGTCTGCCTGGGGGGGCAGCCTGGGGCTCCGGGGGCCCAGGAGCTGGCCCTGTCCTGGGAATATTCAGGCAGCCTTTGGGGATTAGCCCAGAAAGCCTGGTGTGGGAGGCAGAGCTCCAGGAGTCCCCGGGTGGGCGTGGCCTGCCCATCTCCGGGAGGCGGGGCCTCGCCTCTGGTTAGCCCCGCCTCTGACCCGTCCAGGGCTGAGAAATCTCCCCCAGGCACTGCTGCTGGCTTTGGGCTCTGATTGGAAAATGCTGGGTTTTTGGGGTTTTTTTGCGCGCGCGTGTGTGTGTGTGTGTGTGTGTGTGTGTGTGTGTTGTTGTTTTTTGTCCTGACTCCTGTCCTGGAGCCGGCCAGCACTCTGTCCAAGAGGAAGATATCTGCTGAATGGGGAACATTCGCCCTGGTTTCTAGGGGGACCTATGGCCGGTCATGGACGAGAACCAAGCCGTCCGCGAGACCGCCCCTGGCTGGCCGAATTTCCCATCTTCCTTACTCACACGCTGTTTTTTAAATATGTATGTTTCATTTTTATTGATTTCCGAGAGGAAGGGAGAGGGAGAGGGAGAGAGAGAGAAACATCAATGATGAGAGAGAATCATGGATCGGCTGCCTCCTGCACACCCCACACTGGGGATCAAGCCCACAACCCGGGCATGAGCCCTGACCGGGAATCCAACCGTGACCTCCTGGTTCAACCACTGAGCACACAGAGTTCTCGGGAAAGTTCAGTCATGCGCCAGGCCGGGGGCTTGTTGAACGGAAAGTGCCTCCTGTTACGCACAGGACGAAGGCCAGCTTATCTGGGTTTTCCTGTGTGACAATCAGCCAGGGACATAAGTCGGGCCAAGCCTCCAGCACGTGCCAGAGATCGTGAGCAGCCTCGAGGCCGCTGACACAGAAGCAGCGTCTCTGATGGGGACGACGCGGTTCCTCAGTCTCGCCAGAGAGCCCCTGAGCTCCCCAGGCCCCCCAGGACCAGGCAGCTCCCTTGGCTCCCACGGTGGGGGTGGGGCGGCGGCGGCTGGGTCCCCGTGGAGCTGCCG